GTAAAAGGTTCGCATTTGAAATGTACTTAAGACATACCGGTATCTGAGATTTATTTATCATATACTTCAACTGCATTACCAATAACTTTTATAAAGGAATAAAATCAATGCATGGCAAAAGTCACATAAAATGTAAAATAACACATCCATAAAGATCAGAATTCAAACAATGCATTTCAAATCCTTATATATTATCCTCATAAAATGCTTCACAAATGCATATCAGATAAAATGTAAAGACCTGTGTATACTAATCCTAAAAGCAACACTGCCATTAAAACAAAACAACAAAAAAATAGTAAGACATACCTGTAAAAGCAGACTGTGAATGCTTAACTTTACCACTCCTCATGCAACAGGTTACTGTGTGGAAATGTGCTCATCAAAAAGGGCCACAATTAGCGTTACATCTTAGTTTGAGAAGTTGGTTAAAGGCTATATCCAAAACCAGCAGTGTAACATAAACTCTGCCAGTGCAGAGAGATCCTCGGATCAACATTTCTTTCTCAGAAAGTAAATGTATACACAGAAGCAAAGAGTTTTCTGTTCTTTTCCTGAAAAGTTAGCAATCCAGGGAATGCAGGCTGCCTTGGAGCTCAGTCTCGACCTTCTTGGAGGTCAGCATGGTCAAATATGCTGTTCTCTACCTCGTCTCTCTCCATGACAGATAAGGAAGGAGCAGTTTCTTCTATCTATACTTACCTTTGATTGAACTATTACATGCTAAGATAGCTTAATGTGTGCTGTTTGTACATATTATGAATTACATTTTTTGTCACTTGTTTGTATTCACATTATTTTTTGTATTATGTTTCCCTTTTTGTAGCGGCTCTGCTTGGCCCCCTCTTTTGATAGGCACTGCGCCTTCCGTTCTAGGACTCCAACATCTCAGCAATATGCCAATATGGTTGTTTATGCTTTTCATCTACTTCTTATTTTCCAATGGGTCTCCTGCCCCATGCACCTGCACCGATCTTCAATCTTGGGGATGGTAGCCTTTGAGCTTGAGCTGCCTTACCTTGTGTATGGCGCAGGCTAGGACTTCAGAAGATCAGAAGTGGCATGCCTTGACATCACTTGCCCTTGCATGATGACTTCCAGTTGCATGGCGCACCAAAGGGCTGGCCCTGTGATTTTTATGCCATAAATACTGCTGGTTGCATGCTTTTATATTTAAAGTAATACACTTTAGTACATTTTACACTTGTCACCGGAAGTAGACATTTGCCGAAATAGCCTCTGCAATAATTTCCATGTAACATTATATGGTTTCTTCCCGCTTTTTTGTCTGTTCAGCAATTGCTGTTTATACTAGCCCAAATACCCCAGAATCGTTGGACTGGATATTTGATGCCCAAATAGCTTTTCTTACTGACACAGATATGAGGATGCCACCCAGAAGTAGTTTTGCACCTTGGCATCACCTGCAGGTAGTGCAAGGAGCTATCAGTGGCCATTAGAGTCTGGAGCCGCTGCGATAGTTGTGGCAACATTTTATTGGATATGCTGCCCAACAAACATCCACCAAGCATTTTCAGTGTGGATTGGTAAACTAGCTATACCTGTGTGGAGACTCCAGTATTCGCCAGACCCACTGCAGACAGAAATAGGATGCAGGATACTTACACTGGACTTGCTGAAACTGGGATCGGATGCAATAGAGGAGCCTTGACTGGAAAGCTGAGAATGCCTGGACCTGTAAACTCTGCAGGATCCAGAGCTCTACAGGGAAGTGAGCTCTTGGGGTTGTTAGCTACCACAGAGATATCCTGCTCTGACCATTCCTGGGGGAAACAGTGGAAGGAGACATGAAGGGGACTGTTGAAAGCCTGTACCACGTATACAGTACAGGACTGCCCTATGTTCCTCCATTGTATGGACTGAACTTTGCTTAAGTTAGGTGGCAGTCAGATGTAGGTCAAACTCTTTGCAAACAAAGTTTCAGCCTCTGGATTTTTGCTCTGCAAAGAATCCACAGATGAGACCCTCTGTATGTGAACCAACAGCTGCATTTTCCCTATAGAGAAAATGTTACAGTTGGTTGTGTGATGGTTGTTATGTTTTGGTTACAGCTACAATTCTAAAGGAGAACTTAGTTACATAACAACATATGGTATGTTCTTTCAGCTCTGTTGTAGGTCTCAGTGTAAAAATAACAGCACTTCAGTAACTGTCATAAAATGTTTGGACTTTATATCTGGGGCGCTATTTACTTTTTGCCACTAAGTGGAGATAAAGTTCAATGCAGGCATGGACTGTAATGTTATTAGAGTTCCATTGCCATAAAATGTGATGCAAAGTAATTACATGATGTGTCATTCCTGAGGGAGTGAGACTTCAAAGTTTAGGAATTATCTGCTGCTTATTTTTGTTTATATTTTTTAGGCAGATGAAGCAACTGGAAAGAATCTGCACTTCCAGAAACAATGCATTGCACTAGTCTGTGTACCTTTGTTTAATTACTGCTTATACGGTAGTTAGTCAATGGTAGGAAAACAGTTCCGGATGTGATGTTGCTCCTATTGTAAGAGTCATGTCATGGCTGATTTTGCCTGGTGACAACCTTCATTGCACTATGTAACTACCAATGATTGTGACCCTTATATTTCATGTGCAATTTCACATGTGAGATAAGCTACTAGAGGTGGGTAGCAGGGGACTTCAGGGAGACATCCTGTGAGTTCTTCAGTCGCTTTCCTCTTCTTTAGTGCCTAGAGGACAGTGCAGGGAAGCTACAGTGGATTAAATCTGTTTCTTCTATCGGCCTAAGAGGACTGAAGAGAGCTGACTGCTACATTCTAAGTCCCTCATCGAAGTTGTGCTACAGTGGTTGTCTCTCAGATTTCTACAGTCACATTACTTTGCCGCAATAAGGAACTGCTATATCTGCAGATACATGTTTATCCTAACAGGAGAGTGTAAAAGACTATTGCATTTCCAAGGAAAGGCTGTTCAGCTACATACATACAGAAAATTACTTTGCAGTCATGTCTGTTGGATAAAGTAAACTGTCTTGGAAGATACTTTTTTCAAGGCAAATAATCATAAGGGACCGCACATCTATTTTCTTGCATTGTGTGGTAACTTAAAGAAGTGAAAACTCCAGGATTTTTTTGTATTAACCCATGCAGTGGAGCTACACACTGCAAGGGTTAAGTGTTCATTTTAAAAAAGTTACTCGCCCGAAGCTCTGAGCCGCCTTCTTCGTAGAGCGGTCCTTCCAATATCACTCCCCCTCCTCTGCAGCGGTCTAAGGTATCGTAAATCATCACGTCTATAGGATGCTGAAGAAGATCCCAATGCTGCAGGGAAGGGGAGACAGGCTGGAAGGGAGCGCCGTGACAAATGGCCAGCTCGGAGCTTCAGGTGAGTATCATTTTGTTATTTTAGCACCTAGACAAAATGAGCACTTAAAAGGAGAACCATGAGGTGAGTGCTTTTCACTCACCTCATAGTTCTAGCCGACGTGTGACAATGAGACTGTCACAGGTCGGCTCAGTAGATCGGGAGGTGAGCGAACACATACTGGCTCTCTGCCGTGACAGGGGAGGGGCTGGATTCCCCTCTCCCCGCTCTGATCCGCCAGCGCTGACTGGCGGAACGGACGGGGGAGGGGGCGGGTACAGCTGGCTCTGCCTCTAGATAGGCAGAGCCAGCTGTCAGTCACACAGCTGGGCGGATCCCAGCACAAATGGCGGGATCCACTTCAGCTGCAGCGTCTCAGTATACCGCGAGCTACAGCTCGCGGTATACTGAGCCTAGGGTGACGAGAGGATGCTAGTTTGGGTCCTCCCGTTACTCTAAGGAGAACTATGGAGAAAAGCCTAAACCCCATAGTTCTCCTTTAACCCTTGCAGTGCGGGGGGTAGACCCACTGCAAGTGTTAAGAAAAAAAAAATCCTGGAGTTCTTCTTTAAAGAGACGGTACATTGGTTACTTTGGCAAGGAATTTGTTTACTGCACATTTGTTCAGGGCCCCAACACGGACCCGTTAACCCACAGTTTGGGGTTAGCTATTTAGGGTAAAATAAACTGCCACATCACATTTGTCAATGTTCTAATGCTGAAATATGTATAATCCGCGCTTTATAGATCGATATGGATACCTCAATTAAACAAATAAAATATCAAGAATAAATGAATGAATGAATACCTCTATATTATAGCTGCTGTACTAGGGACACTAGGGTCAGATAGTATGTAACTGGATGTGCATCCTGAGCGCTGCACATCCAGTTACATACAATGTTCTAATGCTGACTCTGTGATTCCACTTTTACCTTGAACTTTGTTTGAAATAGCATGCAGTCAATACTGAATAAAGTTATTCATTTTATTTACTATTGTCTGTCCCACTGTGTCATGGGATTCCGAGGGTGTCACCAGATTCAGGTAGAAGGTGTACAAGCATACTTATCAAAGCCAACGCCTACCGGTGTGCTACACACAGTTGATTTACTAAGGGCAAAAAGCCTGTTTACTTTGCAAGGCAATTTGCACTTTGCAGGGGAAGTTTATGCTTTGTTTAGTGAATGTGGGGAAGCTCTGCTTACTTCCATCATCCAATCATGTGCAAGCAAAATTAGAAAAATATTTTTTTCTAAAATGTTCCTTGCACACGATTGGGTATTCTTTGCAAAGTGAAATTCCGCCCAATTCACCAAGCTAAGAGAAGCTTCCCCTGCAAAGTGCAAATTCCCGGATAATGTGAACAGACAATTCTCCTTTAGTAAATCAACCCCACAGCTTTAAAATGAATGGCCACGTGAGGAAATCACATACTGTTCATCAACAAATATATATTTTACTTTAATACATTTATTCATTAAACCAACACTAAGGCAATTCATGTTTAACACCTATACAGTACACCAACATATTTTAATGTGCGTCCTTTTTTCTTCTTTTCTATACTTTTACTGTTCAACCAATAGATACACTTTTCCCATATATATAAGAAGTGGTGTTTATTCTGCAGTGACCCACTGTATGTAGTTTGCTCATTTATTTCTTCTAGATTTCTTATCATCATTCTTTCTCAGGAATGTGATTCCTATTTCAGTGACATCATCTCCTTTAAGTCTGTCTTGAACAAAATTGACCTCCGCTGGTAAATTAATCTGCAAAGAAACAACATACATGGTACAATATCATATATCTATAGAATAACTGCATGACAAGGGGAAAAAGAAGTAAGAAATTGTTTCAATAATAAAATAACGATTTTTGATAAGATGGTAATAAAAGAATTATCCTATCCCAGTCCTAGGATAACCCAGTCTTACTCCCAACTTATTTCATAGGAACATTAAAGCCAACTCTAGTCAAATCCTTTTAATAGTTTCTGTCAGGTTTCAAACGCCTACAACAGAATAGTATACAGGTTTTTTTTTTAGATCAGCTGATTCGCTTGTCAGATGCACATTTCATTAGCTTTTTTATTTTCTGGTAACATATTTGCACACACATGCCTTAGTGCACTGTATCTGAACAGATACAGTGGGGGTTGGGTTTCCTCCTGACAAACCTGCACCCAATTTAATCTTCTGCCCCATGTGCTCCAAGATAGATACAATGATAGTTTAGAGTTATGACCGCACTATAAGAGGTGCCTTGGCGCGGCTGTGCGGCTTTCACATTTTCTGCAGAAGACGTGTATCCAACACCTCTGTTGTTAACTTTAGTGTGAGACAAGTTTTTTTACATGCTAGCTTGTGAGTGTGCCAGGAAAACATTTTGCTGTTTTACTGTTTAAAGCCCATTCCGTGTGCACCTTGCTGTAAAGCTGGTGACGAATTGATGAGTGCGTTTTTCATCTGTTTTGCTTGTCTGATTTGGTGCAGTGATGTATAGGGGGTCTCAGCTGCCATTGGGATGTGCGGGATCCCTTGTGCGTCTCTGTGCCTTTAAGGGGGTTTGGGCTTCCTCCTGACAAACCTGCACCCAATTTCATCTTCTGCCCCATGTGCTCCAAGATGGAGACTCTCATAGTTTAGAGTTAGGACTGCACTATAAGAGGTGCCGTGGCGCGGCTGCGCGGCATTCACATTTTCTGCAGAAGACGTGTATCCAAACCTCTGTTTTTAACCTTAGTGTGAGACAAGTTTTTTTTACATGCTAGCTTGTGAGTGTGCCAGGAAAACTTTTTGCTGTTTTACTGTATCTGAACAGAAGGCACAAAAGCATTATTATTTGGGACTTCAAAACTCTCACTTTGCTTCTTTGTCTAAAGCTCAACTCTGAGGCTTGGACTAAAAATAGCCTTCCTACACACACATTGGTTCTGCATTGTGTGTGATCATGTAGGCGAGGTGGTGAAGAGGAGCGACTTTGGTGGACTGGCTGTCCAGCATGGGGGAAGCCTGTGGGACCATGACGTTAGGGATGCACTATTTTAAGACTCCCCTAGCCTAAACAAGCAGCATATACTGTATATACTTGGAGGGGGGCTACCAACATTTTTTCCACTTTAAAGAATCTATAACTATAAAACAACAGTTTTATATTAAGACTTACAGGGTTATTCACAAAAGGGTAAAGAGTATGGAAAAGGCAGGAGAAGTGAACAATCTAGGACAGCATAATTGATTTGGAAAGTGTGATGAATTGGAGAATTTTTCCAAATCAGCTACTTTGGCCTAGATTGTTGACTTCTCCTGCCTTCTCCAAACTCTTCACCTTTTTGTGAATAACCCTGATAATATTTAAGACTTATAAACCTAAATCAAACAACTTTATAACATTGACCCCAAACTATTACAGTATCCATTTAAATCGCAATATACAAATATAGCACAGGAGGGACAACAAAGTAATATCCTGACCCTTGGGACACAGGAGATTTTGTGTGTGACCTACAGGGATTCCAGCATCAGCCTTGTATTATAAAAATAATAATAATAGCAACACAACCTACCATTTCCAGAGCTCCTCTTAATACTCCAGAGAGGAGGTTGCAGTAGCTGAGTGATGGTCTACCTGATGGAAGCTCTTCCACAAAGTCTACAAGTGGATTTTTATCCAGTATGAGGGAGAATTCGTTTCCACCATCATTGCCACCAATCGTAGAAGGGGTGATCCCAAGGTACATTTTAAAGGCCACCTATAATTAGAAAAATTGTCAGTCAATTGAGCTACCCAATAACTTTTGAAATGGCAACATTGGGGCACCAGTAGGAAGCCAGAAAAGAGAAGAATTCTACACATCTAGAAATGTCAAATTCTTCTATTTTTTTTGCCTATAACGTAGCAATTAATATATAAAATAATTGCCCAAAGGGGACATTAGTAATCATACATGTCTCTATATTAGATTAACATTTAAAATTACACTATTAGCTATGGTGACAGAGTCTCTTTAATAATATGGCCCCAATAATGTCTATGAGAGCTCACTGGGCATGCACTGCCACTGCTGAAAAAGCTTTTAGCCCAGAGGAGATAAAACATTGAGGGGGTAAGGACTGACATATTTAGGTAAGTAATCGCCTTTGGGGCTTAAACTCAGTAGTCATTGTGAAGACTTCCTAGTGATGTTTCGCCTTGCTTTTCAATGTTGGATATGAGTAAAAAAAGGATCAACCAAGTGTCCTCATCAGAAACTGTGATCTAGGTGGCTTGTACACCGGTGTAATTTGTTCAGGATGTGCTCCGCGAATCCTATAATGTTACCACTCTTATCCCCATGCCTGCAAAATATCCATAAGGAATTAAATGGCTTAATTAGTAATAGATGACAATACCATCAACAAAATGACGGACAATATGCACCCACTGAAGAGGCTTTTGATAGATGCTTTAAAAACAGCTTTATTAGAAAGTGACATCAGATCCTTATTGAGGGAAACTTGACAAACTGGTTTGTTCCTTGAAATTTTGATGGTAACTCCGGCATATATTTGTGTGAGAAGACTGACTTTTGTCTGACTACATTCACGCCTCTAACATCTCCAACATGGATGTCTTGCAGAAACTTTTAAAGATATGTGCAGAAAAGAAATCTGCTATCGGTTATGGCTTCCTGACACTTGTAACAGCGGGAGGACAGCAGTTGTTTTCCCTGGTTGTGTTCCAGTGTCCCTGCAACGAGCACAATATGATGTATGGCTTTGTTTTTATCTTAGCTCCGGCTATTGTACTCACAATCACAAGTTTCTTCTTGAGTAGCAGGACTTGGAAATTTTTTACAGGTTGCTGTTTAAATCCAGTGAAGATGTTCCCTAAAGAGAATCGATGTAAAGGTCTTTACGTCTTTGTACAGCTGATACTACATGCTCTTATAGTTCCTGTCATGTGGATTTCTATAGCCTTGCTGCACGGATCTTTCTATGCATGTGCCATGAGCGGCTGGCAGAATCCGGACTATATCCAGTATCTGTGTAAGTACAAATCTGAACGTTGTCAGAGTCAGCTTTTCAAGGTGACCTGTAACAGAACAGCAATGCCTGGCAATGAAACTCTAGAAGTTGTTCTACTTCTACAAGCTCAATCGCAGGTATGTACAAGAAAATGCTAGGCCTCTATTAAAGTTGTGTTTATTTCTATTACAATTTTTTATTAACTGTTAAAATATTGTCGCTTGTACCTTCCATATCAAACACTGACATCACATCTACATTCAAACACATTTATCAGATTACATGAACTTTCATGACAATGGCAATATAAAGGACAATTTTCCATGAATTCCATGGTGTAAACTCTTTACAAATTTAACCCATGGTGTTAAAAATAATTCAGTAAGTTGTGACTTGCAGTGGAATAACTTTACGAGTCTGAATAGGGTACTTTTGCCTTGTTGCTTAGAAACTAACTAGAATGCAGTCTATTACTCCTATTCGTTCCAATAAAATAGTTGTTACATTGTCTAAAAGTGAAAAGGAAGAGACCGTAATCATGTACTCATGTCTACCAGGTGGAGCTGTGTGTGATTGTGGACTAATAGTCCACAAATGGCACATGGGTTTTTTTGCGCATTTTGTGAACGTGCGCAAAATCTCAGGATTTTGTGAACATTCACATGCTAACAAGTTTAAATGGGGGTTTAGCGTTTCATTGACAGGTGCATTTGACTTGCAGTTGACCTCGTTCTGATCTGCTTCTTACCTCCATCTAAGCGGCAAGCTACTTTTGCACTCCCACCGACTTGACTAGTGCAAAATCCCATCGACACAGGCCCTAGTGTTATTGTGGCCAGTATGATGGCAGTGTCACAAGCATATCACTTTTTTTCTGCATTCAGATTCTTTCCTAGTCCTCTCCCTCCTTCAACTTGCAGTGCATTAAATTCCATTTGTATTAATTCATAGAAAATACGAAAAATATGGGCCAGCTTATTCAAATATACAGCATCCCAAAATGTAAATTTTTAAAACATATAATAGACAAATTAGTAATTTATAATGGGGGATGCAAACTTTAAGCAGTTACATGTAATTTACTAATGATTATGTCTGAGGTCTAGAATACAGTAGCTGCCCTTATCTTTCAATGGCCTAAGGTAAGAGGTTTTTGAAATGCCATAGCTATGACATAGTGTTTAGAGGTTATATTGCATTACAGTCTGCTTTAAAAACGTCACTCCATAAGAAAATAATTCCAGGCAAAGCAAGAAAACACCCCGCTATTTTCCATTGTAATGAATGAATACTAACTGTCTTTTTATCAAAATCTATTAAGTCAAATTGTGTTGGACTTCTAAAAATGGTACTTTTCAGCTTAGGCGTCAATGTTTCAAAATAATTTTGAGGGTTATTTAGCAGACACGTGGTGTATTAGTGTACCTAAGATAATTACAAACTAAGATTCATTGAACTAAAATTGCTTTGTTGAGGATCACCTTATCTGTCCCTGAGACCTATTTTGGGATGGAAAAATCCACCTCACTGTTCAAACTTTCCCATTCTTAACACTTCTAAACTGCCTCTATTTACTTCCCACACACATCACATCCAGTTTGAACCTCAACAAATACCTAGAAAGGTGTCCAGATCTAAAAAATGTAGGGAAATGTATGTTTTGAGGTTTCGCGGTGGGCACTGTAAGTGGTCAATAGCATACTGGGATAATACCTGTCACCCTAAGTATATTTTTCCTATGGGACACTTGGGGGTCTATTTATAAAATATTTGCATAACTATTTGTCCAGCAAAACTGCATATACATTCTTTCTATGCGAGTTAACAAGCTGTTGTGAGAATAGAGCAAAATCTAATATTCCTATGGTATACATACCCCAAGAACATTCGATTTTGCCCCATTCTCAAAACAGCTGATTAACTTGCACAGACCTAATGCACATTTAGTTATAATGGACAAATAGCTATACTATTTTTTTTCATATAAATAGACCATTTGAAGATGAGTGAGTGAGTATCTGAATGAGAAACCGACTCGCTCAGGCTGATTTTTACTCCCACTAGTCCATGAAACATGTCTTTGAATATAGTTTTCGAATAATCAGTAAATATTTTCAGAAAATGCTTTCATTGGGCACCTTACTAATGCATGGAGGATCATGCTAATATATATGTAGCCTCTGCTTTTTTTGGCGATACAGCGCACACTGCAGTGGCATATCAACTCCACCTTCATTCTCAATTTGTTTATTATTTTCACCTTTCGTTTTCAAGTATTTTCCACATCCAGTCCTCCACGTCATCATTATCACCTACTTTAGTAACTGTAGTATCAGCTGCACATTGCCCACCTTCACATCGGCATTACTGCCAATGGCAACAGTTTGAGTTGCTCTGCACCTTGACATCCATCTTCTAAGTTCTCTGCACATTGGAAACACTTGGCATTTTCATACAGTACAGATTTTCTTCCTCAGATCTTGAAAAAAACTTTGCGTGATCACCAATAGTGCACTTTTATTTGTCAGAGAAACATTGTGACCAAGGGCTGAGACTGAAATGCAGATACACTTCTTCTCAAAGGAAACCGTTAGTAAGAGATGAGGGGAAGTTTGTACCCAAGCTCAGTTACAGTTAGGGGAGTATCCACCGCAGGGCAAACAAGGCATTTGCCTTGGGCAGCACTTTGCAGGGGGCGGTGAAAAATGCCACCCCTAAATCAGTGAGGCAAGCCAGGTGCACGGAATCAGGCAGTCTCGCCTGCCTAATCAGGCAAATTAGGTGGCTGCTTGTGGGGCCTCTCGGTGGCCTAATTTGCCTGAGAGAGCTGACAGGTAAAAGAAGAGGCGGGGCCGGGGCCTTAGCTGGCGGAGGCTGCGGGCAGCTCGAGGCTGAAGGAAGAAGCTGTGGGTGGCTTGAGGCTGCCCATACACCACCATCTGACAGCACCATGTCCTGGAGGCAGGCTGGGAAGCTGCAGGTAAGAGGAGCAGCACATGTGTGTAGGGAAAGGGACCCCACACAGCCTCTGGTGGGGTCTGCAGGGATTCAGGTGGGCTGTGCAAGGTCTCAGATGGGCTGTACTGGTCTCAGTTGGCTGTGCGGGCTCTCAGGTGGGCTCTGCGCAGTCTATGGTTGGCTCTTTGGTGGGGTCTGCAAAGTCTTTGGTGGGCTGAGGGGTCTCATGTGGGCTGTGAAGGCTCTCAGATGAGCTGTGCAGGTGGGCTCCGCAGGGTCTATGGTGGGCTCTGCAGGGTGTATGGTAGGGTCTCAGGCTGAGACTCTGCAGAACCCACCAGAGATCCCTTACAGCCCACCTGAGACTCTGGCTTCCCTGTTACACTAATGCCGCAAGCTGTCAGAAGCTATATACAGAGTTTGCACTGTATCCAGCGACTGACAGGTTATGCAAAATGACTTCAAGAGAAAGGGGTGGGGCAAAAGTTAGATTGGGGGGGTGCCCAAGTATTGTTTTGCCTAGGGCAGCACAAAACCTATAATATACACTACTGGTTACAGTGTTGCGACTTTGATGACAAACAAGCTTCCCAGTTATTGATTTCAGTAGGAAAGGCTTCTCCTTTGTGAATCACACAACCTTTATAGTATACTATTGTCAGCTATACAATTGACTTGGCCCGTCCAATTACACTGCCAGCGTCCAGTTAGGACTTTGTCTTTTCAAGGCTGACTAATGGAAAACATACAAGCACATATAAACTGTTTCACCATGCCTCCTGTTAGCTGCCACTAGAAGTTAGCCTGTTCTCCCACAAGGTAGTTTTGCATAAAAATCCTAAACCCTGCATTGTCCCGACCACAGTGTGGAAATGTACCACTAGTGGTACACTACCTATACCTAGGGAAACACTGTCAAACCTTAATGTGACTCAGTTAGAAAACCTAAGATCAAATTCCACTTAACAACGTGGTTACAAAGTAAGGCGTTTTTCTTTTTGAACAAGTAATGACTAGGTGAGATGTTTCTCCTTACTTTCAAAAGTTAGGATATTAAGGGATTATCTTGAATAGCCTAATAAGTGTCATCAAGAGCTGCTAAGATCTACATATCATATACCGTACACATGACATTTTTTATTGACATTTTTCATGAATCCCATAACAGTGTTACCCTCACAGCAGCAAATGTTTCCCATAATTAATTACACAGCCTAATTAGAGTGATACGGTAATCTCCTTACTAATAAAAGACAGTGTATATTTTGTAAATAGGTTTTAATTGATTTTAAAATTGGCTTTACAAGAAAGTAACATCCAAGTAGCTTGACAAACTGGTTTCTGAATTGTTATAGTGACTCCAGCATCCATTTTTGCTAGAAGAGTGGCGTTTTCTTGAACGTAGCCCTTGTAACATTCATGCCTTGCAGATACAGCTCAAATGATGTGTAGAGATTTGCTTTTAGTTATGGTTTCCAAATACTCTTGATGTCAGGGTATGTCAGGGACCTCACCTAATGAGCACCTCGCATCGATATATCTATCAGCAGCAAGCACTAAGCAAAGTAATAAACACTAGTGATAAAAATATATAAATGTGCCACGGTATTTTACTGCTTGTCAAGAATATCTACATATTTGAAAGTCTGGCTACTTTAAATGCATAACAAATATTATTGTTAGCAATTCAAAATAGACATACTGAATCTCAAATTGTCATCCTAAAATCTGTTATCAAGATAAATACCTTGCTGATGGAGGCTGCCATTGTCTGGCTTTGCATACTAATTCCAGAGCAATGCAGTGCTGGGAGGAAAATTACTGTGTTAGTGCCTATTCACACCATCCATGATGTGGTAATTGCACAGGTTACAGCAAGAAGCATTAGCACACAGTAAACGTGTTATTGTGTTGGAGTACCTTTGAAAGGTACCCCAACACACTAAGGAACAATGTGCAGTGCACTGAAATGCATTTTACACACTACCATGTGTCATGGTGTTCTGAGTTACCAAAAATGCTGCAGGTCTGATTTTCAGTATGCTATGGGGTGTTATCTGCCCTAAAGTAGCACACATTAACATTAAAATACAATGGGCACTAACCTGCATGCATTAAACACACCACAGCAGACTGCAAAGGTGTGAACTGGCCCTAAGAACTACTATGCAGCTAAAAATGTATAAATCATACAATGACTGATGCCAGCAGACAGGAGCACTAAACACTTGGTAGCCATTATTGTATACACAAAAATAGGTTGAACCACCAAAGAATATTAGGACACCACACCCCTAAATGGAAATGATGAAACAAGAAAAGTCCCATGGTTTTTTCTTGTTTCATTATTTCAGCCATTATTGTAAGAATTGCTGTATTAGGCTTGTGGCAGGTTCAGGTTTATATTTAAGCTGAACTTATCTGAGCCAAAAAAGGCCTAGCTACGAGTATTACCTGAGTTTTTTTCTACAGCTTATCTTTCCCCATTACTGACTCACCATGCCTTGTTCAGCACTGTGTCTCTGTGTGGAGGCGGCCATCTTGATAGAGGGAGGACATTTGCTTCCTCATATCAGAACCTTCAGCAAGGAGAACAGTGAGCAACACAGTAGTGACATCACTAAATCTCACTCCAAATATACTGTGACTAGCAGTCAGGGGCAGCAGTGCTGTAGATCTTATAATGCAGATATACAGCTACAAAATGTAGACATAGTAGTACCTTGGCACACTCACACGCCAGGAAGTGCACTGCTATTTTTCAGGAGGAATTCCAGATGAAAGGTAATTTTTTTCAGAGTACTGCTTAGGTACAATTAACATTTATAACATTTCAATCCATATAAAATTCACTGAGTTCAGTTACACTTTAGGTAAACATGCAGGACAGTCCCACACAATCCTGGACTGTTAAGAGGTATGTAGAAGAGGTTGCAGGGGCCAGTATACAAAAGCAAGGGATTAGGAAAGTAAAATCCTTTTGTCTGGTACTCCAGGCATACCTTAGGGGCTTGTTTTTGTTTTCCCCGTTCAGCTTTAATGTTACTTTAACTGCAATGTCTAATCACAAGAGGGCACTGCAATCATTTTTCATAGTGATTAATGTAACATAATCATACAGCTTGAATTTTGTAATACTGTGCAGCTTATTATATGTATTTCTTAAAACAACTTTTAAAGTTGATTTTAGGCTAATCACCAAAATATTATACAACCTTTAATATGTTAATGTAATTATGAAAAATAGTTTAATATTTTTAAATCTCCAGCTTTCATTAAAATAATACTTGACAATCCTGCCATAAAGGTAATTGTTCAGGCTGTTCCTGTTAAAGAGTAACAATGCTCTGTCACTGTCTCCCAACTGTCTTCCTGTGCTGTCACCCTGTCTCATGGGCTTCTGATGTGGCTGTTCCTTCAGGAAATGATGTGTCATTCATTGCAGTCATAGCAGCTTTGATGTAAAATCCAGGATGTATATGCTGTTCAGCAATTTATTTTTCCAGTATTGCACTTGACTCTATTAGACTGGTAGTAGCTGCTGTCCGTGAAAATGCCCACCAGTCTAATTCTGTCCAAGCAGAAACCCTGAGGGGTCACCAAGTTGTCAGTACATAACACAGTGCCACCACACTCATTCTCCCTTGCCAGATTCATGTGAACAGGAGGCTGCCGTATGTGGCATTTTTGCAGGATCAGTTTTCATAAAAATAAAAAACTTACGGTGAAGGATTTTAAAAAACATTTTTAACACGTGCACATGCTACAGGGAGGGTTGTAAAAGTTAGGTTCCTTTTTATTCGACCCTGGAGCTCAGTAACTGTAGCAAACTGATCATACTGCTATTTATGTTTTAAACTATACTAACAAATAATTTTTCTTAGATGTAAAAGGACAGAGCTGAAAATTATGGTTCTAAGCTAGTAGTTCATAATCATCACAAAACATAGGGTCTGATTTATAATGCAATTTATGCTCCTTGGCTCCATCTAGTGACAGTAATGTGTTGAGATTGCATTATAAATCAGCCCCATATAGTCAGAGGAATAATCTGTACTTCTGTAAAGACCTTGGTTTTTATTAATTCTTCCCATTGTTCAATATATGTTTCATGTTTTACTGAAAGAGACTGTCACATATAAAATGTTTTTCTATGGTATTTGACTTTTTTTTGTACCCTTTGCATTTGCAGGTTATTGGATGGTGTTTTATAGCTATACTTGCTTCGCTAGCACTTCTATGTGCCTGTTGGTCTAGGTGTCGATCCAATGTAAGCTCTGTTCAGAAAGCATTCTGGAAAATGTATATTGACAAAGAAAAGGAGAAATTTGAGGAATTGGTTCAGGAATATGCCACCAAACTTGCTGAAAGGAATCTGAGAAGTTTCTTTGAAAACAAGGACCCAGATGACTTTAAGCTGCCAACTAGCAAAGCTTGGGAGAAGATTTCAGCATTGTATACTTTCAATCCAGATCAGCAGTACTATAGTACTCTTCATAGATTTGTTGAACATGGAGACAATGACAGCGTCAAAGACGTTATAATGGATTTTGTAGAAAGACAAATATAAATAAGCTATTTTTTACATGGAGAGTGAAAAATTGACAAATGGCTCTGTAAGTTCTATAAATTAACTGAGCAAAACCTTAAAAACTGAACATTGTATGCTACGGGAATCCATATATTAGATTATCAAGCAACTAACCCAGCTAGAGCCCGGATATTATTGACCTGATCTAAAACAAATTTGGCCATGTTTATGTAAACTCTGAAAGATATGGCCCAACTTTCACACCGAATAAACACAAAGGGAACAGACATACATAAATAAATTAGGGCTGGTACTGATTAAAATTTTCGTGTTCGTTATAATTAATCGATTAATTTCGATTAATTATAACGCACATACAGATCCAACTACATTGGCCTATACACATACAGCACAGCAATGAAGTAATAAAATGAACTAGGATCACACTAATCCAGCACGTTATTAATCTCACGTACCCCACTCAATATGGCCGCCGCTTGAGTGGGGCAACTCAGAATAATAACGTGCTGGATTAGTGTGATTCTAGTTCATTTTATTACTTCATTGCTGTGCTGTATGTGTATAGGCCAATGCCTTGGCTGGCACTCGTGCAGAACAAGTTTCTTGTGCAAACCTCTAGTTGTAACGAAACCGGAAGTCAGGCGGTCGCAGAACTCGATAAGTTCTGTGTCGACAGATCACCGGCCAAAGTGGCTCCGTCGGCTAACGAAGGGAAGGGGGGAGGAGTCCGGTGACTTCACGGACATCGACGTCACCGGACTCCTCCCCCTTTCCTTCGTTAGCCGACGGAGCCACTTGGGGAAGGGGGGAAGAGTCCGGTGACGTCGATGTCCGTGACGTCACCTGATCACCGATGGGACTCCCAGAAGACCCGGAAGCCGGCGGAGAGGTGAGTGTTTTCATTAATGATTAAAATAATTTTAATCGATCAAAAATGTTAACGATTAATCAGGTAATTAATCGTTAATTTCCACAGCCGTAAAATAAATATACACATTGTCCAGTTATATCCACCATTCTGCCTATTCAGTATCTGACTATATTGATCAGCTGCTGAATTTGTGCCTAATAGTCATGCAGTATATATATATACTGTATGTGTGTGTGTATAATATATTCTGCTATATAATAATTAGTAAATTCAATGTGTAAATAGTGGCAGTTATATTGCAACTGTGTTGTGCTATTCCAAATGCTGCGTGATCTATGAATCTGACCTTCAAGGTTGTCCTACTGTCTTTTCGGTAAGTAACCTGCACAATGTTGGCTTTGTAAGACAAGAAGCATAAATATTTTATATTGTCCTGATCTTCTTAGCTGAAAAAGTCATACATGTTACTTTTGGAACACTGCTAACTTCTACTTAGGTGATATTTGCCACTAATTGCATGTGGAAGAATGTTATCACTTCTGGGATGGAATGGGACACTACATTAGATTCCAAAATCAAACTTTGGGATATACAGCTTATGAGCTGATGAGTTGATGATAATACTATGTGGTTACAAAACACGTAGAGTCCTGGAACAATGACAAAGTAAGAATTCAGATACTAGCACAGTGTCACAATGAGTTTTGGGTTAATCACAGACAAGGTTGAGCAAGTTACTGCAGAGTACATCTATTATAATAGACCTTATACACATGCCAATCTGACCCTATCCAGAATGTAAATAAGTGCCATTTAATTCAGCAAATTATCCGTCCACAAGTGGTAAACTCATGGTTGAATTACAGAAACAAACGGTTGGTCAATTGGTAGTGATATATATGTGATACAGCAGTGCTAGATAGGTGATAAAGCTGAACCCCTGCCTTATCTTTAGTCTTGCACAGTTTCACAGGCTTCTCTCCTGTACTGAAATTGCTTACTCTGTTTTTAATGAACACTTTGAGCTTCTCTCAATGTGCATTAGAAGCTGCATCAAGTCAGATAAAACTTTCTTTTATAAAGATTTCCTTGCTGGAGGATGTCCAGCATCATTCAACCTTTCCTACTTAGCCCAACTGTCCCTGGCACACCCCTTTCTTTCACTGGATTTCAGTTCTTTCAATCATAGATGCTCAGCATCGCAAATGCAGTCTGCCCAGGTACACCCACTTCTCCAGACTGACACCCACCCATCAAGGCATTTTGATATTTGCATAACTAAGAGCCTGCCCACTGCTTTAATAAAGGCTGATGGTTCTTGAGAAATGTAAAAGTAGGGTGCTGTGACATTTTCAGGAATCTATGTACGGCACTCTGTCAACCCCTCCCACTACCAATAACCTGCCTGCATTGAATAGATAAGCACGGAGACCCATGGATGACATCACTGGGTCTAAGTTAGGGAATGTAATAAAAACAGAAACTAAGACGCCGCAGCTGAAGCGGATCCCGACAATTGTGCCGGGATCCGCCCAGCTGCGTGACTGACAGCTGGCTCTGCCTATCTAGAGGCAGAGCCAGCTGTACCCGCCCCCTCTCCGTCCGTTCCGCCAGTCAGGGCTGGCGGATCGGAGCGAGGGGGGGGGGAATCCAGCCCCTCCCCTGTCACGGCAGAGAGCCGTAACAGGATCGAGAGGTGAGCGAATGCCGGTATGTGTTCGCTCACCTCCCGATCTATTGAGCCGACCTGTGACAGTCTCATTGTCACAGGTCGGCTAGATCTGAAAAAGCACTCACCTCATAGTTCTCGTTTAAATGATTAAGGATACACAAAAGAACGCTGTTAGAAAATGATTATGACATAAACACACACACTGAGCAGACACCCCTGATGCTGGCCTAATTTCTTTCAGAGGAACAACAGTAATCATTTGGAAAAATCCAATTCGTACAATGGACTCTTACCCCAAAACTGGATGACGAAGGAGTAGATTTAGAGGACACTGGCTGCACACTAACATATGATCATATTCCAGTCTGACTTTAATAAATGGAGCAGGGCAAAAATCATCATATGAGTAGGTCTGTTTAGGTCTACCATGATTAATCTATGGGTACCCTAAATCTAACCTCAGTAAGGGCTATTGAAGAATCCATGTTAAAATAGCATATCCTTGTTTTACATATACAATTCTGTGCGCATGTCATTTGTCATGTGAAATATCCATTGTCTATAGTCATTTTAGCATCAAACACTAAGGTGTTCAGTTATCAAACAAATTATACTAATGACTCTGACTATGGGAGAGCAGCTTATAAAATATTTTACTATGTCAGTAATACTATTAAGCAAAAAACTAAATTGTACCAAATCAAAGGAAAATATCCCAGATTACTATTTAGATTAAAGAAACATATAGACAGGAAGAAACTGGTGGAGTGCAGTTTATAGGTTAGGTGTAACTGGAAGCAATGACGAACTGAAAACCATAATTATGCTGAGTACAAACACTGAGGCTCATTACGGATTTAAACTTTCAATTACAGTCATATTCACATTTGTTGAGTGAAAAGGGATGTACAAGCATGTGAATTCTTGAAACCAAAATTACTTTGTACCTTCTGTTTTACATTTAATACTTACAATTTATAAACAATTACAATAATATGATATCAATATTTCATGCAGAAACTAACATATCTTCTGAACCTGTAAATAATTAATATTTTTAGAACTTCAATTCAAACACAGCGATCACAAATCTAACACCAGGATTCTTATTTTCCAAAAATTGACAGGTATATATATATATAAAATACCTCAACACACAGCCATTAATGTCTAAACCACTGGCAACAAAAGTGAATACACCCCTAAGTGAAAATGTCCAAATTGTGCCCAATTTGCCATTTTTCCTCCCCATTGTCATGTGACTCATTAGTCTTACAAGGCCTCAGGTGTCAATGGGGAGCAGGTGTGTTAAATTTAGTGTTATCGCTGTCACTCTCTCATACCGGCCACTGGAAGTTCAACATGGCACCTCATGGCAAAGAACTCTCTGAGGATCTGAAAAAAAGAATTGTTGCTCTACATAAAGATGGCCTAGGCCATAAGAAGATTGCCAAGACCCTGAAACTGAGCTGCAGCACGGTGGCCAAGACCATACAGCGGTTTAACAGGACAGGTTCCACTCAGTACAGGCCTCGCCATGGACGACCAAAGAAGTTGAATGCACGTGCTCAGCGTCATATCCTGGACATTTGGAAATTTTCACTTAGGGGTGTACTCACTTTTGTTGTCAGCGGTTTAGACATTAATGTTGAGCTATTTTGAGGGGACAGCAAATGTACACTGATATACAAGCTGTACACTCACTACTTTACATTGTAGCAAAGTGTAATTTCTTCTGTGTCGTCACATGAAATGATATAATAAAATGTTTACAAAAATGTGAGGGGTGTATTCACTTTTGTGAGATACTGTATCCACTGTCATAATGTAATAATGTTATATTCTGTACTTACTTTTGTTACGTAAAACAAGAATACAGCCAGGGAAGTGATAGCCTATCACATAGTCTACATTCTTATTACATAACAGTGATTCCTTGAGGAATGTGTGTTATTTGTTATTTGTTTTTTCTCTTGCAGCACTTTTTTATATTTTCCTTTTAACAGGAAAATATGAAATCATTAACTTTAAATATTTGCTATTTACCACTTATAATTAGTAGAAAGTTTTCTTTAACTCTTAGCGCTAATGTCTGCCAGCTGAACAATCCAGTTGCTGTTGCACACTCAAAGTTTTCAACAGTTTATCACAGTTTTTCACACAGACTTGAGGGGCTGCTCATCCAGGAGCTCCCACCACGAACATAGAAAACAAAAGGGAACAGAGCGCCACCTCCGTGTGTACAATCGTTTATTATTACAATAAATAAAACAAGGGATAAAAGTACTCACAAACAAACGTTTTCATCAGGCTTTAACAACAAACGAGAGGCGACACTGTCTGTTAACCCAACATGGTATCCCCCCAACTATGTAACACGGTAGCCTCCGCTCACATCACTGTCCACCGGCCGCAGTCAGCCAAGATTGATGCCAAGATGAAGGGGCTTGCCCCTGAAACGCGTCAATCGTGGACGGTGATGTGACCGGAGGCTACCGTGTTACATAGTCAGGGGGCTACCATGTTGGGTTAACAGACAGTGCGGCCTCTCGTTTGTTGTTAAAGCCTGATGAAACTGTTTGTTTGTGAGTACTTTTATCCCTTGTTTTATTTATTGTAATAAACGATTTTACACACGGAGGTGGCGCTCTGTTCCCTTTTGTTTTCAACTTACAATTAGTTGCTAATCAGCTCCAAAGATGAGCACCAGCTTTCTGCTTCTCAGAAATGGTGTCAGTTAAGCTTGCCATAGACCTTGCAACCATTGCAAGACTTTTGTCTTGCAATGGTTGTAAGGTAATTAAAGAAACGTACGATCTGCCCATCTTGGACAGGCAGATCGTACTTGCGATCATCGCAAGCCCGCCCCCCTGAGGGGCGGGCTTCCGATGACTGCAATGCTGAACGGGCAGTGTGCGCTTGCGCACACGGGCCCATTCGGCATTTGTCTTACGAGCATGCCACAAACCCGCCGATAATCGTACGATGGTTAAGCTTCATAAAATATCAGAATCAGTTTATAGTACCTTTGCTATTATGTCCACCGTTTCACTGTAACTTCGACACTTCTTTATTCCAGAGTTGGCCAAAAAGTCTTCAATTAGTCTAACTCCAATGTTGTATCCCCTGCAAATGGGAAAATAAATGTAAAGAAATTAAAAATATTTTTAACTGTTGGATCTGTCGTATGGAATAATGGGACCTAGCCCTTTGTTATCTTTATTGCTAGGCGCACTTGGACCAATATCTTCTACAGCAAAGCAGCTCCAAGCTTACAAATTATAGTATGTTTTTTATGGTTTCTCTTTTCTTATCTGGCCACTGATGGGCCTCTGTAGATAATTTAGCAACATCATAGTTTTTCAGGCGCTATTAATGAAAAAGTGTCACAAAACCCTTGTACAGCCATTCTTGGTAAACTTTGTGGCTGAATAGTATCTCGGCATATGAAACAGACCTTACACTGCCTTAAATAGTGTACTTTGTAGTGTGAATCACAGGGCAGAATATTCTTTTGACAAATAATTAAAAGCTTACCAAACTCAATGAAGGATTTACTGTGTGAAATGTTTCATCTCTTTGATGCACATTGTCTTCTATTCTAGATTGTCTGTTTGGTAATATCTTAGCCTTCAGTCCATGTCTTTCATCATTCACGTAGGGGTGTGAGATGTTTAAAAACAGCCCTAGATGTGTGAATTTTGCAGCAGGGTCTGTGATTCTCCCTATGTTGAGGACTATATTTAAAACACTACAAATCAAAAAAAAGAATCTTGCCCACCAGGAAAGCATTTAGAGATCATGGTTACAGATATGGAATAAATGTTTGTTTTTGTCTAGGGTACCTTAAAGCGTATTTCCAGTCAAAGCTGTATTTTGCAGTCAAAATTGAGAAAACCACTCTATATGATTATGTCTATTAGACTGTAAATGCTCATAAGCAGGGCCCTCCTAACCCTCCTGTATTGAAATTGTATTGTAACTGTACTGTCTCCCTCCATTTTGTAAAGCGCTGTACAAACTGTTGGCGCTATATAAATCCTGTATTATAATATATTTAAAAAAAAATCTTAAGTCATGCTATGTGATTGGGAACATGTAGTAAATATTAAGTAGGTGTTATTCCAATTTGGCTGCAAAACTGGAAATACACTTTAAAATAGCACTTTTACTTATGTTATCCCTTGCTCCCCTGGCAGTCGGCGCTCTCCTCTTCTCTCCAACGCTCCAGGTTGTGGGTGGGCCCTCGTCATGCTCACTTACAAAGCTGGTTCTGAATCTTATGTGATAACAGCGTGGCCAACAGACGGAGCGCCGAAAAGAGGCAGCTTCGGGGGACCAGGCATATGGAGAGGAGCAGCTTGAGGGAGTGAGGGATGAGGTAAGTAAAACTGCTTTTTTAAGGCAACCTAGACATAAACAAGGATTTAAACCACACGGTGAGGGGGAAGCAAGGGTAGTTTTGTAATTTTCCCAGACTTTTTCTTTAATATATAGGATTTGTTCTTGAAAAAAGCAGGAAATAATTATGTTTTCGATCACATTTTTTAACATACATTTTGACATTTCAAATAGAAATTGTTGCAGAGGGCAAAATAATGATTGTGAAAAATAAACACTTACATTGTATCCAAGTATTTGTTAATTTCCTCATCGTTGTCATAATCTTTACACATCTGTGCCACTAGTGCACCGTATGTGAGAACAAAAAGATCTCTGCTCTGTAAATGGAAAAAAACAAAGATTTTACAATTTAGAGTCTTTTAATGTAGTGAAACAAATTTGAAGAATAAAGAATAGAAGAATTTGAAAGAAACTCTTTAAGGGCTTGTTTCCACCAGGCCGCACGTCTACCGCAATGTACCGTGCACAGAACGCAAGGGGTCGCATATATAAAGTCTCCTTGCGTTCTGGGGCGGGAGGAGGTGTGGCAGTGCCATGTCAATGGCACTGCAGCCACGCCCCCTACCCGCAGTACGATCAGCCGCACAGGAGCACGTGGTAATAAAATGCCCTGCATTCCAGTGCGTTTGGATTGCAAAAAATAGTGCATGCACGATTTTTGGAGATCCCACCGCATGGGAACACAGGGCATTTCATTACCACGTGTTCCTGTGCAGCCTATCGTACTGCGGGCGGGGGCATGTCTGCAGTGCCATTGACTTGAGTAGCACTGCCACGCCCCCTCCTGCCCAAGAATGCAAGGAGACTTTATATATGCGATCCCTTGTGGCAGGGGACATTGCGGTAGACGTGCGGGCTGGTATAAACAAGCCCTAAAAGGACTGAGCTCCCCAAAGTCAACTTTTGGCAACCTGCCACAGCTAATAGGACTTGTTATCTGATCCCACAAAAGAAAGATAAAAATACAACAGTGTAGTTGAAATTATAATCATACAAGCAGGAGAATACCACTAGTATACAGTATATTGTTTAATAATGTATTAACATCTACAGTATATATATATGAAAGATGTCTAATAAAACAAGTCCCCTTTTAATGGATTTTTTATTTATGTTATCCTGTCAGTCAAGTTGGTCAATCAATTCTTTCAAATATTTGCAAGACTACTGCAGAGGGTCAATTCTCTAAAGCACAACACTTGCAGTATCTTTATTGCTTTTACAGTCATAAAACAAAAATGTAATATTTGCTTCAGCATGCCATTTTACCATCTCCCACCCTGTACCTGTATTTCTATGGTTATTTATTCCTCATAAATACCTTAGAATAGATTCCCATACATTTTATGCATGCCTTAGTTTTTGTTTCATTCTGCCTTCCTGGGTTTAACCAAGAAATGAGTCTGCTGATCTTTCACGGGTCTCTCTCAGAGTATGTGACTATGGGCATTTTTCTGTCCACAAGTACAACCTTAAACTAGGAAATGTCCACAGTTTCAGACTCTGGTTATAGTACTAACAGGCAACTCTGAGGTTGCAGAGATGGTGAATGTCCCTGATGAGCTACATGTAAATGTGAATTTGGAGGTTTAGGTGTACATACGTAGAACTTCCTTAGGACAACATCACATCCTTGTTAATTGTGGAACTAGTAACTGCCACCCTAGCGATTCAGTAGCAACCAGGTATATTGCTAAGTTGTTTGATTTTGTGTGATTCATAAACTTGGTTCCTTAATGTCTTTAATCATGTAGGCGTTAATTCACAGCCATAGACAAAGTCAATTTAGGTCTTCAAGTGTTTCCTGTTTCTCACAGGTAAGCTTACATTTTTGTGAATCAAGCATTTATAATCGATTTTCAGATGCAAGTGCGAGTGTCAGGCTGTGCGAGAAGCGATTAATTTTTTATGCCTTTGCACTCATGCTGGCTCTAAGTACACCTGAAACTTTGCAGTATAATATTAAATACTGATTGGCTTTATTTACTTCATATGTTTTGGCTGTTAGCACTGTATTTACCATATGGAAACTCATAGTTGTTTTTACTGAGGATTTGCACTGGCCAGCTGCCAACATTGGAATACATGATCCCCACGCATGTGAAACATCAACATACAGATTAGTACTTGTGCAAAGGCTTTGGATGAAGTCTCCAGTGGCGTAACAATCGCCATAGCGACCCAGGCGGCCGCTATGGGGCCCGGGGGCACAGGGGAGCACAAGGGGGCTCGGCCAGATGCCCTGCGGGCCGCCTGGGTCGCTATGGCATCTTATGCTGGTGGCTTTCACTGGCAGCTGTGAGAAGAGTGCGCTGCTGTTCAGAACTGTGCCTTGCAGGTAGGCATGAGCTCAGGTTTGGACCCAACCTGACCCGACCCTAAGCTCCACCAAACCTGGAAGGAGCTCCTCCTGAACATGTAAAGAAGATCCTTCCATGCCACCCAATCAGCTGCTGGTAGGGAATTCTCCAGCCACAGCTTAATCAGTCAGCAAAGCGGTGGGATGCAGTGACATCATTGACCTTATATGGTTATATGCCTATATTTGGTAAATGGCATTTATATAATACGGCTATGTGGCCATATTAAGGAAATGATGTCAGTACAAGCATCCTGCCCCTTTTTTTAGATGCAGCAGCAGGGCAGCGAAAGCCTGTACCACAGTTGATTTGGTGGAAGTGTCCATGGCACTTCTTTATTCAGAAGAGCTCAATTTCAGTTCGGCTTCGCTCTGAACCTGAGCTCATCCCTACTTGCAGGTATTGAACTAGGAAGCTGCCCCTTACCTGCATTGGAATGATTTGTTATGCTATGGGATTCTTTCGTTTCAAATCCTCCGATTTTTAGACGATATCAGTTAATGTATGGCCATTGTGGATTTTTTTAACAGATGATACATAGTAAAATATGGACTTTATAACAAATGATACTTGATAAAATATACAGGGTTATTCACAAAAGGGGGAAGAGTTTGGAGAAGGCAGGAGAAGTGAACAATCTAGGCCAACGTAGCTGAACTGGAAAGTGAGCTGAATTGGAGAATTTTTCCAAATCAGTTATTTTGGCCTAGATTGTTCAATTCCCCTGCCTTCTCCAAACTCTTCACCCTTTTGTGAATAACCCTGATAGACTTTGTATTGTTTGTCAGGTGCTGATCACGTGTTTGATACTTACAATATGATGTGCTGAGGCAGAGGAGGAGACAGCTGGTAAATGCCAGTCCTGAAAGAATTAAAGGAATAGCACTTAGCAAAGAGACGCTAGCTTCATACAAATTATTGTGATCTCCATTATGTGCATTTGATGAGAGCTAACATAACACATTCTAACACTTGCTACTCTCATCAAGTGTCCATGTAGATTAGGTAAAGAAACATCCATCAATCAGACATTGCTCATAATGCAGTTTTTTGCTTTTTGTAAAGGGTCTTGAGTTACTCAATTTCAGTATTACATACATCTTTGGGAATTCATGCGTGTAAGTAACAACATAGAGCTCTCACATGACTGGTGTGAGACTTCTTTGGTATCAGTCTTTAACAATGCATACTTTGAAGACCATCATTAGGCTCAGAGTGAGGATGGTGGCCTATGTATTTAAGTTGTGAGTGTTCCTTTGTTTGGAATTAAGCATATCTAAATGGCTAAATTCTTACAAAACCATAAAAATGTTACAGAATGACCCCTATAGGGCCAGAGCAATATTTGTTTGACTGCACTTCTTCAAGCATTCTTAAACATTAAAGTGCATAGAACCCAAGAACAAAATATTACTATATTGCAGCTTACTAGTTCTTAGATTTGGTGGCTGCCTTTATTTTCACTTGGTGATCTTGTCAGTAACACACTTCCTGTCCTAGGGTGTTGATGCTCACCGACCATACTGTATCTATGTTGTCATGCCTACAGAGTACCTGGGTGGAAGGTGGTCTGTAGCTCACAGAGAGACCTGGGAACAATGCTATCTGATAACAGTACAGCACAGGGAGCGTGCACAGGAAGCTATCAGCTCATTGGAATTCTGGCTAGATGAACAGCTTTTTATTTTTCTTAACCTATTGAACAGATAAAAAAGAAGCTTTTAATAGCTTATTTAAAAGACATTGTCCGTTTTCTTGCAATGGCCTTTCCACAAACCACACTTCATAACAATCTAAAATCTCTGTCAGTGTTGAATATTTCTTTGTGCACAGAGAGCATGTGCTGAAAATGTATGCATATGCAAGGAATTAGGCCACATATTGTATGGTGAATGCACCAAAGGCTCTTTACAGGGTCTATTCTAACATAACAGAAGACTGAAGAGGACAAGTCCTTTAAAAAATGTCAAAGATGCCATTGTGTGTGCACATTACCCATAATGCACTTGCACTTTTATTAATGCTGCCTATGGGCACACAAAGGAAACATCAATATTTTGCAGTGTAAAACTAAAAGGGTTTGGATGTGACACAGCAATTTAATGGCAACATTATGGTTCTTTTAGCTTCGTAATTTGATTACAATCCAAACATAGCAGGGAATTAGTGACTCAATGTCCTTGTAAATATATATGATATTTTGGGGAAGCAACAACAGTTAGGGCTCTTCCACACGGGCGCGTATGGCCTGCACCTAAATACTGTGTTTCCCCGAAAATAAGACACTGTCTTATATTTTTTTTGGCTCAACAAAACACTCTAGGTCTTATTTTCGGGGTTGGTCTTATTTTTTATTTTAATGTACAACAATCCAAAATTAATGCAAATCCAAATTAAATAATCCAAAATGACAAAGTCAAGAATAGGGTGATCAGGGCAATCAGGGGTGCCGTACCTTTCCAAGAGCAATTTGGTAACCAATCGCTGGCCAGAATGAGTGAAGCGCACTTCACTCTATCGATTCCTCACAGGCAGAGTGCATTTGGTATGACTCCGCCTGTGACAGGAGTCGGCGCTGTAGAGGAAGCATTCGCTTATGCGGCTCTGCTCCCTCCGCTGCTGCCTCACTTCCTCTAGCGCTGGCTTCGTTGGCACCGCTGATTCTCTCCCGCCTCTTCCGCGGCTCTTCAAGTTCCCCCTTATGCCACCACCAGCCCTGGGAAAGGTCACAACTAGGTCTTATTTTTGGGGTAGGTCTTATATTTTAGCAATTCCCAAAAATAGTACTAGGTCTTATTATCGGGGTAGGTCTTATTTTCGGGGAAACAGGGTATTTACTCATTACAGTTATTCTTTACTATGTTTTAAACTGCTAGTAGTGTAAGTACCTCAAATTTCCCTTCATATTTCCAGGCACAGCAGGAGACCAGAATCAGCCAGTCAGGGCTCCATACTGCTTTTTACAGTGCTTTCACTCTAACAATGTGAACACACTTACAGAAGAGGAGAGCACAGAGATGACCTCATCAATATACTGCTGCTCTTTCATTGTCCCATTAGCAGTCTGAGGCAAGATCGATTATACTTTTGCATTCTTTAAGTGTTTTATGAATTGGTGTCACCCCACTAGGAGTGCAGTGTGGGTAGGGTATGTGAATCACTAAAGTGGCTAAATATTTTCTTAAGTAAAATGTCTCACATATCTGTATTTCAACTGTGTAGTAAACTGATTTGCTGTGAGTTCAGCCTTAAGCTTTATGCATTACAATTAAATTGTCTGGGCTCTTGTAGTCTTCCTGTATTCCAATGTACTACAGTCCCATGTGATCTTGTAGTAAACAGAATAACCAGTAGGCTCCCCAGGCCATTACAACCTATTAAAATCTTTATCTATAATGCAAAACATCAACTTTTGCCAGGGCCGCCATCAGAAATTTTAGGGCCCCTTTCACAGCTTTAGGCCTGCCCCCCCCCGCCCCCCGCTCCCCTACCACATCTGCACAGGCGTGTCCAATCGCTGTCCAATCGAGTCCGCCCAATGGCAGTTCCTCTGGGTCCTTCAGTGCACCCACTTTTATTTTAATACTATTGCAACTTAATATATGAAATTGAAATGTGTATTCTAATGCACAGGTAACACTGATTCTGCTGGGGTGGCAACGGACAGTTAACACTGACTCTGCTGGGGTGACAATGCACAGGTGACACTGACCCTGCTGGGATGACAACGCACAGGTGACACTGACTCTGCTGGTATGATAATGCACAGGTAACAGTGACTTTGCTGGGGTGACAACGCACAGGTAACATTGACCCTGCTGGGGTGATAACGCACAGGTTACACTGACTCTGCTGGGGTGACAATGCACACTTTACACTGACTCTGCTGGTATGATAATGCACGGGTAACAGTGACTTTGCTGGGGTGACAACGCACAGGTAACACTGTCTCTGCTGGGGTGACAACCCACAGGTAGCACTAACCCTGTTGGAGTGACAATGCACAGGTAACATTGATCTGCTGGTGTGACCACGCATAGGTTACACTGACTTTGCTGCAGTGACAATGCACAGGTAACTCTGATTTTGCTGCGGTGACAACACACAGGTAACACTGACTTTGCTGGGGTGACAACGCACAGGTAACACTGACAGTTCTAGGATAACACTGCATCCACCAAATCAGCATTTTAAAAGTTCTTACCTAATGCCTCCCCCTGCCCTCTGAGATCCCCCTCCCCCAAACGGCCCCAGTTCATCCACACTGGCCGTAAGTCTGTACCTGCTGGCTGCTACTGTCTTCTGCCAACCCAAATCCCTCACCCTAGAGTCGGGCCCCTGCATAGTGTCGGGCACTGGCTGCTGCTGTTCTCTGCCAACCTCCCCACCCCAGCGTTGGTCCCTACTCAGTGTCGGGCACTGGGTGCTGTCCTCTGCAAACGCTTGAGAGCCCCCCCCCCAGCGTCGGGCACCAGACGTCTGCTTACCTTACCACTCCAGCAGCTCTCTTCCACTCTTGCCTTGCTTTTCAGTGCAGCACGGTCAACAATAAGCTATATTTGTATTATTGAGGGGGGCCAGGGAATGGGGGGAGTGTATTATTGTGGATTTGTGTGTATGTGTATGAGATTGTATTCCTGTGTGTATGTATTTATCTATGTATGTGTGTAGGAATTCCTGCATCAGGAACTTGCATTTTCCTGCAGCAGGAATCCCTAATCTGGCGTTTACAAGCCACACAGACATTAACACTGGCACAATATTTAGTTACATTTTATTTTGAAGTATGACATTGTATTCAATTTGGCAAGCTGCCACTGTGGGAGAAGAAAATCTGTTCAGTGGCCTCCAAGTGAATTGAGTTTGAGACCCCTGCTCTAGAGGGTGCCGTTGAGTTAACTCTACCCAATCAAAGGGTCCAAGAGGTTTTCTGTAGTGTGTTACAGGGAGCATTTTATTATGCTGAGCAGATTCACCTTTAATGCCAACTATTTTGAACACATCTATATTTCATTCAGGCAAGGTTTCACAATCTAGGCTTTCTATTGCTCCCCATTGTTTACATTATCCTGCTGACCATGGAATCTAACCACTGGCAGACAGCAAGCTATAAACAAAGAATTATGTCAGCAATTAAATAGATTTAGTTGCTAACTAAATTTTTTAGTGTGCACCAAGCACACAACAGTTTTTTTAGTGTACATCAAGCCACCGGCAAAAAGAAAATCAAGGACATACAGTACTTATTTGCCGAAAATGTTATTCTGCACTAAACCCTTTCTCTTATCTTTTACTTATCCTGTTTGCTATTTCGAAAAGCAAGTATAAAGGAAAAGTAATGCTGAAAAAATAAGCAGTTGTAGGTTTAACCAATCATTTTTGGCATATAAATTCTTAATGACCCGCATGACTGGGGGTGTGGCAGGGGTGTGCCCATTTCTTACATACATTGTTCAAGAAGGTGTCCCTCTTTCTCATGTCAGAAAATTGGGAGATATTCTGTACATTGTTTTCCAGTTATAAGAAAGTACAATACATTTGTTTGGAGCTCCAGGAAGGTTGGTATCTCTGATCTGTGTACATTACGTATATCACACACAGCCCTCATTAGAAAATATGGCTGCACAGCTCACTGGGGACATGATGGTGTTTTGTGTTACATACCTTCTGCTTTATTTCTGTTCATGATAATATCATGTAATATACTCATCTACATAGGATGCACTTGCTGTCCTAAATCATACACCTCTAAGCTATACCAACATTCTGCTCTATTATCTGTACGTTATGTCTCCATTTAATCGTGTTGGATGTTTCATTAGCAACAAGTATGTGCTTGGTAATGAATCTGGTGAAGTATTTTTATGAAATGTATTAGGGATGCACCGTTGTAGGTGGTGGTCCTCAGGCCTTTGTTGTTTCCGTGCTGGGTGTAGAAATTCCTGATGTTCCCAGTGGATTGCGGCAGTTGTGGTCAGGACCTAGACTGGGGTTGTGGGTGACTGAAGCTGCAGTTGTGGTGGGTATCTTTGACCTCTTCTCCCGCTGATTGGCCGATTGGATGATGACAGGCTTCCTCACCAGTCACTCCTGAGGAGGTTGCGGCCATCTTGCTTCATTGAAGACGCGATGGAGGTCCTGTGTGCGGCGGATTCGGGTCCCTGAAGATGGCAGACGCAGCACAGGTACTCGTTTTATGTAT